TGCTTCTAACATATATTTTCAATTTAAATATTGATTTTTGTACAAATTTTATGGAAATGTAATACAAAATTCATAAACATTCTCACAGTTTAATTATATAATTTTTTTATATTAATTTTTATTATATATATATATATCTATAAAGTTTAAATATATTTATTATCAATTATAGAAGTTAAAATAAAAATTAATAACGTTTGATTATTGTAAATAGCATTTATCTACATTTTATACATTTTTTAAATATTTCAACTTCAAAATATGCATTTTTTTTCAATTATTTTATAAATAATTCATATTTAAACCATATTTTTAAAAATAAAGATTTTTATCATATTATATTATATATCTTCTTTTTTATTATTATTATATAAAAATAAAAATAAAGATTCACTCTGTTATTTTATGTAAAATAAACTTATTAAACTTAAATTGCTTATAATTTAATAAATAAACTTCAATCATTTGTATATCAACTTTTATTTTATTTAATTTTTATTTAGTATTCTAGTATTTTTAATACTATATTAAATTATCAATTTTATAAAATATCGCGTTTAATACTTTTTTAATATTATAATTAACAAACATTTTATCTGCAAATATTCCACGTAGAAATACTTACTCAGTATCACGGTAAGTGCGTCGATTAGGCTCGTGCCCCTGTCCCCACCTGCCTTTCACGGTACGACCAGCAGGAATCTCACCGTACCCCACCTATAAACCCCCTTAAGGTATAACACGGTAGTTCCTATGAGCCCAGTTTTCTCCCTTTTATGAAGCCAGGTGATGACTCACCCCATAACTCCACCAAAAGGGAACCCCGTTACTTCTTCCACGTAGTAGTATACGCTTACTACGACTATTCTGCTCTCCCTTCTCCTTGTATGCCGATTCCTCGTGTTTTTGAATGTGCACACGCGCGTGTCAATCGTGGCCAGATACCGATTCGTGCGTGAACCGACTGGGGTGCATTGTACGGCTATTTACCCATCTACGAACGGAACACCCGATTTATAATGTCACGAGTCATGGAATCGTTGGAAATAAATTTTATTGGAGAATGTCGATGAATATGTATAAAACGTTTGCCAAGATGGCGAACTAAAATAGGAAAAAATATTTACGCTCTCACTCTATTCCATCTCTTCTGCCATCATACGCATCGTGGTAGAATTGAGTACTAAAAAGTAACTAGTTAAAATTTTGAGTAAAGTTTACGGATAACTGTAGCGCTGAACAATTGAGGTTATATATGAAGAGGATTAATATCTTAAATAAAATTTTAAGCAATAATAGTTATTTATGGTTTATTTAAAACTTTGAATAATAAATTATTAAAGTAACTTATTGAACTAACTTTATTTTTAATTTCAATCGTTAAAATTTTAATCATAACATTGTAATCCATCTCTGCATATGTAATTATTATGAAAGACGGACATATCAAAATAAAGTGAAATAGAATTAATGACTTTACAGCATCAATGTATCAAAAGAATTCTATTTATTTATAATTGACATAATATCATCGTTCATTATCGACTTTTGTTACTGTTATAATAATAATACATAAAATAGCAACTGAGATGGAATAAAATAATGATAAATATTCTACTTAACCACATCTTCTGACAAACAGTATAATATATATAGAAATTTTGTTAAGTATTGGTTGTAAATGATATGAATTAGTTTAAGATACTTTGTTTAACCTTTATTTTTTAAATATTTTTTTTTAAGATAAAAATATAAAATTTATAGATTCTAAAAACTGTGGAAATTTAAAATGAATTAAATTTATTAGAATTTCGTGGATATAAAGATGTAAAAGCATTATATCATTACAATGTCGAAGCCAAATCAATGACACAGACAACAATCAATGTGAAACTTAATGTGACTCTCAATCAGGTAATCAAAATTTTTAGAAGAATCACCAGATTCCCTCGTGAACCTGATTCACCTTGAATCTTTAGCTGGCATAAAGAGGACAGAGAGGAATAATAGAAGAGGATCGCCTTACAAGTTCCTTAGGGCCGGACTCGAAGACAGTGAGACCTGTTTCTCTGGTGTGTCGCGTGCCTTGTAACACCTTGTGCTCACCAGCGTCTATTTACTCGAGGAACCCTCGATCCAAGACTCGCCCCAAGGAAAAAAGGGGCGCCTCGTAATCTTTTCTCCATTCAAGGGAACACGTCGTTCAGCCCCTTGAAAACCGCTAGTGGAGAGGAATTTTTTTCTCTGTTGGACCCCTTCACCGGAACACACAAATTTCCTTGCGAATTGTAGGGTTGCAGGGTATCGTTTACCTTTGACAGCGATCTGGTGAAAGAACGAAATGAAGAAACGAGCAATGTTAAGGAAAAAAATAAAGAAAAAATGAAGAAGAGAGAAACATGAAAGGAGGACTAAATTCTCAATAGTGTTATGTTAAATTTTATATTAACAATATATAGTAAGAAGATTGTAATATAAAGGAAAAGGTATGAATTTGAAATAGAATAAAAATATGGAACATCAAGGTTTTGACAATGATTATACTTTAAATGTTATAATTAAAATATCTTCTACAGCAATTGTTGTTGATAGTTATCTTTCTTTTGTTTAATAGATATTTTATGTTTCGAATAAAAAAGTTTCTAATGAAAAGATAAAAATGATAAATACAACGGTACACATAAACATATTGATGCCTAGAAATGAATGAAACGACGAAAATCGAATGGAAGAGAAGTTGAATGCTTTTGGGTTACCTTGCAAGACATATATTTGGATGTCCAGTAACATCTATATACTCATTGATGTATTATATATGTATTTACGTGAATCGACTCATGAATGAAGAAGACGTAATACGACCTATGGTAAGAAACCATAAATATGCTTCCCTCTTTCAAAGATCCAAAGCATGACGGTGAATGAAACCGTAACAATTGTTAACGATACTAGGAATATTTGTGTCGTAAATTTGTGTTGAATGAAAAAATCTAATATGATTAAGAAATAAAAAGAGTTAAAATTTTAGATATTATTTATCAGATAAATTATAATAATTACAAATTATAAATAGATAGTTTAGTCATATAATTAGATAAT